CTCAGAGGTGCTTTACCACCATGTCATATCTACAGCCCTTTTTATATTTTATTTAGAAACAGGGTCTCAATAAATTTTTTAGGGTCTCTCTAAGTTGCTGAGGCTTTTCTCGAATTTACAATCCTCCTGCCTCAACCTTCCGTGTTGCGGGGATTACAGGCATACTCCATCAAGCCTGGCCATAAGAAGTTTTATTAATTACTCTTTATGTTTTTCAGTCTATTTACATATATTGGAGAATTCCACCATGATCTTTTGCTTTTTTTAAAAATTGAGGTATTTATCTTTTATTGTAGARTTGTCAGAGCTCTTTATATATTATGGATACATTATCTTATAAGATCTACGATTTGCAAATATTTTTCATTATTTGTAGGTTATATTTTCACTTTCTTGATAGTGTCCTTTAAAAAACAAACATTTAAAAAGATTTTGAAACTCAATTACCTACTTTTTCTTTGGTGCTCATGTGGCAGCACAAGTTTAGCTCATATTTTTAACTTGCCTAACATTAAGAGCGAGCTGACCAACCACAGGATCATGCTTGGTGACCACTGAGGGACAACGTATTCAAAGGGGATGCTCTTATGGATTGGGTTGTGTTCTCAAAATGACATGCTGATATAGAAACCTCAGTCCCAGGGAATGTGACTTCATTAGGAAATAGGGTCTTGGCAGATGTAACTGAGTTAAGATTTAGAGTGAGCCCTAATCCAACACTGGTGTTCTATTAAAAAGAGAGAACATTAGACATAAATATGCACTGAGGGGAGAATTCCACATGAAGACAGACACAGGGAAGATGGGCACGTATGGTCATTAGAAACTGGTGTGATGCTACCCATGCCCAGAAAGGCCTGGAAGCTGGAAGAGACATGGAAGATTTCTCCTCTGGAGGCTTCAGAAGAAGCACAGTCCTGCTAACATCTGATTTGGGATTCTAATCTCCGGAACAGAATTCCCAAAATTTCGGTTGTTCTTAAGCCAAACATTTTGTGGCACTTTTTTATGGCATCCCTAACAAACCAATAGCATTGTTACCATTCATATTTCTTCTCTCCCTTTCTTCCAATAATATCTACTCTGGTTTAGGGTTGCTAACCACATGCCCAAAGGGATGGAGCCAACTAAACATGCATAGAGACTGCTGAAACCATGAGTCAAAATAAACCTTTCCTTCTTTTAAGTTGATTATCTCCTAATTTATCATAGTCATGGAAAGCTGTCCAACATATGTACTGTCCTGGTTTCCAGCCAGGATACACATTTCTCCTTAATTCTGTCATACCTTTGTTTATTTGAATCAGGAGATGAATACATATGTCTTTTAAGACCAAAAAGTTGCTCTTTCTGAGATGTGACCTGAAGGTGGTTTTGCTTTTTGTGAACTCTTGAACTAAGAATTATTGCTCTCAACTCACCCCGTATTACAAGTATAAGTAATTCTGGATCCAAATTGTGTGTCTGACTCTACATGCACCATGCCATTCAAAGGATCTGAAGGATTTTTACATGTTTTACCTATGGGAAGGAAACAGAATTTTAGAGCCAGGTAAAGTAATCTGAACCTTTTTTTTAGCATATAAAGTTCCAACCTATGGTATATCTACACATGCATATAGCTTAACTTGATCAATTTTATTCTACAGTTCTTCCTCTTGCCCTTCCCTTGTCCTTCCTTGATCTCCATATCATTTTCCTGAGATACTCCCTTTTTATTATTACTCTTTTTTCTCTCTAGCTTTGCATATGAAGGAAAGTATTTGAACCTTGACTTTCTGAGTCTGGCTTATTTCACTTAGCATGATTTTCTCCAGTTCCACCCATGTACCCACAAGTGATATAATTTTATTCTTCTTTATGGTTGAATAGAACTCCATTGTGTCTCCCCACCTTATTTTCTTTATTCATTCGTCTATTGATGGACAGCAATGCTGATCCATAACTTGGATCTTGTGAACTGCACTGGGATATGCATGTGGAATGCATGTGTCCCTGTGGTGTGCTGATTTCGGTTCTTCTGAATAATTATTAAGCAGTGGAATAGTTAGTGACAATGATCCTTGGTGGATCTAACCCACCACTTTTAGTTATAATCACAATGCACCAATGAAGAAATATGCACATGTTAATAAATAAAAAGACCAAAAGAGCAGAGAATGGGGAAGCAGGGGAAGGGAGAGGGGGAAGGAAAGGGAGGTACTAGGGAATGAATGATGTTATGTGCATATATGGATATGTCACAAGGAACCCCACATGATGTATAAGTATAAAGCACCAATAACATTAAAAAATAAGTCCCAACCTGACTATAGCTGACTGTAGAGCATATGTAATTATGATGACTCTATAGATTTTGCCACTTTGAGGAAACTYACCAGGTTACCTTAGGCTCAGCCACCAGGTAAGCATCATTTTGAAAAGGACCCCCCCCCTTCAATTCTTTCTTATCCCTACACTGTGGCTCTCAGAGACATGTATGCTTCATTTAATATCAAAGTATCACAACTCTGTAATTCAGCCAGAGTAATACAGGCCTCAGAGCCTGGGATCTTCTCATCTCCTAGTTATTCTTTCCTTCAGAATCAATTACTACTTAGCTGTGGTTGTGAAAGTAGGACACCCCTGGTGAATAGGAATTTTTCCCTCCCTCCTCCTTGTGATGATCACTTTTCATGAAATGAACTTATAATAGAGGTGCCAAGAACTCAAAGGAGCCAGGAGACATACTCTACAAGAATAACTTACAGGTACTGTACCTTGGGCAAAGTTATGAAGTCATATGCATCTTAGTTTCAAGATTTGAACAGACTGAATCAGACCTTACAAATGTTTGACTGACCCAAAGAAATGTCCATTCAAGTTACTCACGTTTACACTTGTCWTCAGCATTTGTCCAGACTGAGTTTTCTTGGCAAATGATATTAAACCGTCTCTTGATATAACCAGGGCGACATTCATACTTCAAAGGAGTCCCGACGGGAAACACAGATTCATCAGTTGGACTTTCAGGCTTGGCAAATGGAAACCACTCTGGGGCCTTGCATTGACCTGGAGTTCAAGACCACGGCAACATCCAAGTTAATGAGGAACTTCTACTCCATTTCCTCTTTCTCTCCATATACTTTATAGATGCGATTGGAGAAGAAAAAGAACACTTTGATAATGGCAAGAGATCCATTCTTTTAGTAGGAATCTTCGAAAGGAGATTTTAAAATACTTTATCAGTATCCACCCACTAAAAAAGTCTCTCATAGAAAAAGAAATCCAATTCCCAGCTTCAAGTTTTAGTCAATCAGAAAGTGCCTGAGCTTGGGTTTCATCCAGCCCAACTCCCTTATCTTTCTAATCCTGTAACGAGATGCTTCATGCATTTCACCAATCATCCTCGCTTTTGGAGGCATCCCCAGATCCAGTGGGCATAGAAGACCCTTCTCTTGCCCTCAGTAGGAGTTAACAATGTTGAAAGTCGGTTACCAAAGGGAAAATAGACAAAACTCAACTACTAAAGCTGTACTTCACTTTGTGAAAGCATATATTTTCTTTTTTTAATTTGTTCTTTTTAGATATACATAATGGTAGAGTGTATTTCGACATGTTAGACATACATGGAGTATAACTTTTTCTAATTAGGATCCCATTCTTGTGGTTGTACATGCTGTGGAKCTACACTGGTCGCGTACTCATATATGTACATAGGAAAGTTATGTCCCCTTCATTCTACTGTGTGAAAGCATATGTCTTCTGATGTATGTTCTGAATTAAATACTAGTCTTAACTATCTCCCCTAAGGCCTACCAGATTAAGTCATGGCAATAAAAATGTCATTTAGARTCAAAATAATCAAGAAGAAATATCTGTGGGAAAAATATTATCCTTTTACTTTAGCTTTGGAAATCTTCTTTCTTTTTAAAATTTCTTTTCCTCCCACAGTTCCACTAATTAATTTGACTTTTGAAGGGTCGATTGAGGCCAGAGGACATTTGTATTAATCTTCAAAGAAATAACTTTGGTTTTATTGATTCTGCTCTTATTTTAATTTTTACTTTGGATTTATTTGCTGTTATTTTTTCAAAGTCATTTCTTGAAATGGTTACTGAGAGTTTAAAAATTTTCAGTTTATAAGAGTTTCTAAAATTAGCATTTTAGACTATTAATTTTTTTTAGGTGTAGATTGACTATATTCTACAAACCTTAATGTGTTGCTTTTTTTTTCAGTTCAAAATATTGGATAATTGCCATTGTGATTTCTTCATTGAGTCAAGGTTTATTTGTAAGTGTTTTGCATAATTTATGAACATTTGAGGAATTTTTAAAGTCATGTATTTATTAGCTGTTCTTGAAATTGAGTCTTGTTTTATGGTTCAGCATGTGGTCAGCTGAAGCAACTGTAGAACATGAACTTGTAAAAAAATGTGTACCACAGTAATGGCCCAGGAATTTGGGCMTGTCAGTAAGGCCTGACCTGTTTATCATAATTATTCAAGTTTTTGAGACACTTCTTGATTTGGGAAGATTTTCTTATTCTATCAGATGCTAAAAGAGTTGTGTTAAAATATTCCAACTTGCCTGTAATACCAGTGGYTTGGGAGGCTGAGGCAGGAGGATCCTAAGTTCAAAGCCAGCTGAAGCAATTTAATAAATCCCTAAGCAACTTGGCCAAACCCTATCTCTAAATAAAATTCAAAAACAGGACTSGGGATGTGGCTTAGTGGTTAAGTAAGTGCCCCTGGGTTCAATCTCCAGTAAAAGAAAAATTAAAAAAATAAAATAAAAAATTCCAACTTATTATACATTTGTCTATTTCTCCTTCTAATTTTATCYATCTTTTATTTTATATATTTTAAGGTTATGTTATTAGGTCATAAAAATTGAATTGCTGTATTTTGTGGAAGATCAACCCTTCATCATAATAAAATAACCCTATTTCTACTAATAAATCTTTCTTCCAATTCTACTCGGTCTACTTTATTGGTGAGACGAATTTAAAAAGAAATAACAAAATGGTAAATTTAATCCCTTGTATATTAATAAATATTTTAAATGTAAACACATAATGATAATTTAAAGACAAGATTCTCATACTGCCACATTTGCTAATTGAGCCTTATTTGGGTTTGCATTTGCAATGCTATGTTTTCCATCCTTTTATATACATTCATTCTGTATCCGAACATGTATTCTCTCTCTTTTATTCAGATAGTGTAGTTTTTACTGTTAATTCATTATGTCAGAGGTTCTCAGACTTAGTCTCCAGAACCCTCAGAGTCTCAGTAATTTTTTTCATAGCATTCCTAATTTAAAAAAAAAACATATAGTACTATTTAGTATATAAGTATGTTCAAACAACTTAGGTGTCAGGTCATTATTTAATAATGGGATGTTGGGCCCAGCAYAACTTCTCAAACTTTGGAATCAGATTGGAAATGTGATTTTATTTCCCATTCCACATGGATTTTCAAGGGGCACTTATTCTTTATTACAACAATTTCTAAAAACCAAGCTTTATGAAGATCTGACATCATCAAGAGGAACCTAGTATGATCTATGTTGAAAGCAGGAGCTACTCTTGGCTAGGAGTTTGTGGTTTACACAGTGTCCAAGAGATGTCAAGAACTGMTATTGCCACTGAAAATTTAAAATCTTCCAAAGGGCCCCTGTGAGTTTGCTGCAGCATCCAGAATGGTAGGTTTGCAAAGATGGAAAATTTCTGTTGTTTTACGCCATGAAGTTTGTGGTCTTTTGTTATAGTACCAATAGGAAACGAATGCAAAKGATAGAGTGTTAAAAATTTCACATCCCAAATCAAAACTACATTGAGATTTCATCTCACTTCAGTTAATGGCAATTATCAAGAATACAAATAATAGCAAGTGTTGGTGAGGATGTGGGGAAGAAGGTACACTGATATATTGTTGGTGGAAGTGCAAATTAGTGCAATCACTCTGGAAAGCAGAATGGAGATTCCTCAAAAAAATAAGAATGGAACCACCATATGATCCTACCCCACTTCATGATGTATACCCCAAAGATCTAAAATTAGTGTACTRTAGGGATGCAGCCATACAAATATTTAGAGCAGCACAAGTCACAATAACCAAGCTATGAAATTAACCTAGGTGCTCTTCAACAGATGAATGGATAAAGGATATAAAGTATATATACACAATGGAATATTACTAAGCCACAAAGAAGAATGAAATTATGGCATTTTTTTTAAGTAAATGTATGGAACTGAAGACTATCATGCGAAGTGAAATAAGCCAGACCTAGAAAGCTGATATGTGGAAACTAATCCGAAATAAGGAAAAAGAAAAAAAAATTAAAAAGAGGAAGGTGTGTGTGGGGGATTCCATCCAAATAGAAGAAAGATCAGTGGAGTAGAAGAAAAGGGTTTAAGGGGGAAGGAAGAAAGATGGGGTAAGGGAAGAATAATGGAGTGAATCTGATCTAACTTTCCTAAGGACACTGATGAATATACCACAGTGAGTCTCACCATTATGTATGTCAACAAGGAAGTAACTAAAAAAAACTAAAAGTAAATGGCAGAAAGATTAGTATAGTAGAGATAACAGGAAAAGGGAGAAAAGGAGGGAAAAGAGAACTACTGGGGACTGAATTAGAGCAAATTGTATTGTATGCTTTTATAATGATGTTAAAATGAACCCTAATGCTTTGTACAAATAAATAGAACAACAATTTAAAAAACAAAACAAAAAACTTCATATTCACAGAGGCCTGGCTTTGAACCCAGTGTGTCCTCCTCTCTAGCTATGAGGTCTTAGACAAGTTGTTGGATTTTTAGGACCTCAACTTGATCTTCTTAAAGGGGATGGTAATATTTACCTAGCAGTTTTGCTGAGAGGATCAATGATAGTTTATACTGTGCATTTAGTAGTGTCACTAAAAAGGCTACTAAAAAGGCCCTTGATAAACATTATTATTCATAGAAAAGGGAGAATGATAATGCATTTTTTCCTGCTAAGGTGGACATGTTTTGCTTCCAAGAGTTTATTTTCACTGGGTGCAGTGGTGCATGCCTATAATCCCAGCGGGCTCCAGAGGCTGAGCCAGGAGGATCGAAAGTTCAAGGCGAGTCTCAGCAACTTAGTGAGTCCCTGAGCAACTTAGCAAGACCCTGTCTCAAAATAAAGTATAAATAAAGAGGGCTGGGGATGTGGCTCAGTGGTTAAACGCCTGCCTAGGATACACTGTCTGCACCTCACCTCACCTCCTGCAGGACCACTGACGGACACCAGAATTCCTCAAGTTGCTTTTTCCTGTTGATTATGGCTTTAATCAGAATGGGGGACCAAGCCTGCACTTCTACTTAAGCAAAGAGGATGCCCTAAGAATGTTCAGATTCCTTAATTATTTTTACCCACCACTAGATATCCTGTATCCGTCATCACACATTTTCTGAATTAAACCAGCAATGATTCAACAAAGGTGCCTTTGTCTGTTTCTTGCTTCATCTTATGCCTTTCTATCCTCTTTCTGAGCTGTAACCCTTTCTCTTGGTTTCCTGAAACTACTTTTTCCCTGTCTATGAGGGTCCTTCCCTGTGAGAAGCTTTTCACTCTAACTTCCGCTCTTCCTCCAGGTCTCTGCAAAAGTGACACTTCCTTATCACAGCCTTCCCCGATCCTCTCAGAAATCTGAAATCTAAACTACTCTTTCTACTCCACTCCATAATTTCCTAYTCAGACTCTTTATGTGGCCCATTATATCAATAATACTTTATTGTGCTTTTAAAATTGATGCGCTTTTAAAAGTGTTTAGTTGTGTTCATGGACATCAGAGATGGATAACAGGAAGGTAAGAGACCATATGGCTTTTATTCCTCTGAGTGTCTCGTTCTTGTGCTCATCACCCCATTACAAGCACTCAGTGCATATTTGTCRCCATGAACTAATAAACAATGAATTACCTATAAAACTTAAAATACCATCAAGAGTGCAGACAATACTTTGGAAGCTCTGATCCACTGGGTAAAGGTTAGAACCTGAAGTTTAGATTGGTAAAAGCTTCACAGATGATTTGATAGATAA